AAAGAAAGAAAAGAAAGAAAAGAAAGAAAAGAAAGAAAAGAAAGAAAAGAAAGAAAAGAAAGAAGGAAGGAAGGAAGAAGGAAGAAAGGAAGGAAGGAAGGAAGGAAGGAAGAAGAAAGAAAGAAAAGAGATGCTGGACTGTCCGTGGATGGAAAGAAAGGGCAATAGCTCTTACTACTCCATGCCTGGAAACATGCCACATGCCACATTTAACGTCTCACACACAGCAGACCACGGTCAGCAACTTGTCCCAGTCTAGGCTGTGACACCAACTACCGCCGAATTGACAGGTATCTAAGATGTTCTTCATAAAAATATAAAAACTGAGGTCCAGAGAAGTCCTGTAAGTTTCCTATGGTGACAGTCAACGGGATGGGATCTCACAGGTCGGTTCTCACCTCCCAGTGTGCAAAGAAAGAGTAGGAGACACATTTTCTATGTAGGACCCACGTAAGCCTGCTCTTACCTGTTGATAAACTCATAGTATTAAGCAACATTTTCATAATAGTCAGCCACACAAAGTAACATTTACCTTTAAATAACTACATTCCATTTAAAGTTTTAAAAATAAGCCAACTAATTAGAAAGAAAAAGTATGATTAAGAAAGAAAATCTGGGGAGAAAACAGAGCTCCCCTCTGGTCTTATGATATTTGATTTTTCCTTGGGTGGGCCTTCACTGATGGAAGCAGCACTCTCAGGAGTCTTGTATCCAAGTAGGGAGGAAGTTCCTGACAGAACCATTTTGCCTCCGATGGCTGCCGGGGGGCTGGGGGATGATGCCATGCGTATGACACGCAGAGCTCTGGGAGCCACGCACTCATGAGTCATGACATGAGTGAGACTGTGTTCTCCCCAGCACCACTGCAGCGTGCTTCATTTGCAGACACAGTGGTCTTCGTGTTCCACATTCCCAACAGGCAAGGGTACCGCCCTGCGCTGCCTCCGCCTCAGCATGCCCAGCTCCATGGCACCCACACTGCCCCACGCATGGTGGAAAACTGGGCTTCCAGGGGGGAAGCCATTCCCATTTGCACCATGGCTCTGACAGGAGAGGACGGGGGGTAAGCACAGGAAAGTATCTCACGGCAGACGGAGAGGTGGAGAAACTTCTTCACCTCAAGGTTTAATGGGAAACCCAAAAATGTTACTGTGAGCGTTAATTTCATGTGCTAACTTGGCTAAGCCACAGCACCCAAATATGTTGTCCAGCGCTAGTCTAGATGTTGCTGTGAAGGTATTTTTTAGATGAGATTCATTTTTAAAGCAGTAGGCTTTGAGCAAAGTGATTATCCTCCAAAATGTGGGTAGGCCTCATCCAATCAGTTGAAGGCCTACGAGCAAAGAGTGAGGTTTCTTAAGAAGGAATTCAGTCTCAAAACTGTAACAAGGAAACCCTGCCTGAGTTTCCAGCCTGCCATCTTGCACTATAGATTGAGAACTTGCCCATTCTCACAATTACATGAGCCAATTCCTTAAAATCAATCTCTTTCAATATTTCTCTCTCTTTCTCTCTTCATATATATATATATATATGAAGATATATATATATATCTTTTTTTAGATTTTATTTATTTATTTAAGAGAGAGCGAGAGCATGGGCAGGGGGAAGGGCAGAAGGAGAGGCACAAGCAGACTCTGTGCTGAGCACAGAGCCTGACGTGGGGCTCAATCTCACGACCCTGAAATCATGACCTGAGCTGAAATCAAGAGTCAGATGCTTAACTGTCTGAGCCACCCAGGCTCCCCTCCATATATATATATATATATATATATATAAAACCAGAGAATTAAGAGTCTCCATGAAAAGGTTTTTCAATACCCCTCAGTGCTTAGCTGGATTTCCTACTAATTCCTTCATTGAATCATGAGTATGAGATGTGCCCCTTGAAAGTTCTAGGACCACGGCACCTGGGTTGGCACCTGCATTCAGCCCCCTCCTGGGTGTATGGCTGCAGGCACATGACTAAAGCAAGTATGACACAATTCATAAATGTGGCTCGGCAATATCTAGCTTGCAGGGAGGGCACCGTAAGGACCAGAGATGTGAAGCACCCACCTCAAAACCTAGAAAGATTCATGCTCGCTAAATGGTGGTCTGGGGTTATTATGGTTACACAAAGGTTACTAATAAAATACACTTCCTCCTACCCCCAATGGGGAGAAAGACAATTAATATAATGTTTTAAAGACCAGGCAAGTGATATTGAGGGTGACTGTGGAATTCAGAGGGAGGAAAGTGTGTTGGGCCCAGAAGGAGAAGCCTGCAGGTGAAACGGGGTGACAGGGGAGCAGGCACCCAGGTGGAAGGCACTGCACAAGCAGACCTGGGACTCCAGCAAAACCAGGGAACTGGCCTCCATGCGGACGGGTCAGGCACACATGTGAGGAATCGCACTTCAATGCATTCTGAAAGGCTAGTTCGTGCAAGGAAGGAGCGACAGAGGCAGAAGAGAAGCGACCAGAAAGAGTCACCCATGTGTGTTCTTTTCAGGACCACACAGGTAGGTTGCACCGGCACAAATTTTGACTAGAAATCACTGTGACTTCTGAGTCTCAAAATTTACACAATAAAAAAATCAGTACAATGCAGAAGACCTTTGGAAAATAAATGATGGAACTTCTGAACATTTGCAGAGGGCGTCACAGGTCCGATAACACATACAGTGCACAGAGTAAGAATTTTAATAGATGAGAAAATTCTAAATGGATTACGTCTTGCTTTTTAAGACGTAAAAATTAAAAAAGAAAAACATACTCCATTAACCTAAGAACATGGTATTAAAAGATACACAATCCAGTAAAAGCTGGGGAATGACCTCTAGTAAATCGTTAAAAAATAATTAAGCTGTTCGGAGATTAAGCCTGTTTTTAATTTTCTTATTTTGCTTACTTGTATTTTTCTTATTTTGTCATAATGACTGTGACCTGCTCACAGAGAGGGGAAAGGGTGTTTTTAAAACCCTGCCAAGAGTAAGTCTAAAGAGAAAGGGTGTCATGAATGAGTGGGCTGCATGCCTATGGACAAGCGAACGCATTTGGGGAGCCAACATCTGCCCAGATGCAAAACAAAAGGTCAAAGTCTGAGACTGGAGAGAGCAAGGATTTGCATTCCATGAGTGTACCAACCTGGGTCACAGAGGCATTTATAGCTGGTGCCCATGCTGTGGCAGGTGCCGTGCGCGCAGGGGCTGAGCGCGCAGAAGTCCACGAGCTGGGCGCACGCTGGCCCCGTGAAGCCCGCGCTGCAGCTGCAGCTGAAATGCACGCCGTCCACGTGGCAGGTCCCGTTGTTCTGGCATGGGGACGAGGCACAGGGGTCCACCTTTTCCTCGCAGGCAGCGCCGAAGTATCCTGCCAGAAAACACAGACAGGGGGACGGGTAAAAAATAAATTAAACCGTGTTCACACATCATAGCTAATACACTTGGTCCATGGGGCATTTGGGTGGCTCAGATGGTTAAGCATCTGCCTTCAGCTCAGGTCATCTCAGGGTCCTGGGATCGAGCCCGGCATGGGGCTTTCTGTTCAGCAGGAAGTCTGCTTCTCACTCTCCCTCTGTGCTCTCCCTCTCTCTCTCAAATAAACAAAATCTTTAAAAATAAATAAATAAACTGGGTCCATTCTTAAATGTTCCTCACTGTGAAGTGATTAACTCATTTAACAGTTTCCAGATACAGACAGCCCAACGATAGGGGGAAGGCAGGTCTTCTTAGCTTTGGGAACTGGGGGTTAAAATATTAAGCCCTGGGGTTCCAATTTGTTGAAATGTAAGATATATGACCACTTAGATGTACAGACATACAGGGACATGAGTATATTTATAGGTGTACATGTGCTTATTACGTATGTGTGTGCGCATACAGTCTAGAAAGATGCCAAAAATAAATTAATGGTGATTACGTTCAGGAAGGGGGGATTGGGGTCAGTGGAGGGCTTTGTCCTCTTATTTTATACATTTTGCTGGAGGGAAGGCATTCCTTACCTTTGCTTCAAAAAAATATATCTTGAATTTAAAAAATAAACCCATATAAAATAGTAAACAATGAAAAGATCTCCCACCCAAATCCCTTACACCTCATTCTTCTCTCTAGAAGAGCCACTGTTAGCGGTTTCTTAAATATATACTTTTTAAGTTGGTTACTGTAATGGATAAACAAACTATGGTGTGTCTATATAATGGAATACTACCCAGCAATAAAAGGGATCTATGTTCTCACTCATGCTACATTGTGGATGCACCCCAAAAAAATTACGCTACTGAAAGAAAGCAGTTAAAAAACAACACATATTGTGATTCTACTTATAAGAAATGTCCAGAAAAAGCAAATCTATAAATATAGAAAATAGATTGGTGCTTGCCTGGGGCCGGGTAGGAAGAGGGACTGACCTTGAATGGCCATGAGCAGTCTTTGGGGTCGACATAAATGGTCTAATATTGCATCGTGGTGATACATTTACAAAAAGCACTGAGTTATGTACCTACAATGAATGAAATTGATATCTAAATTGTACCTCTTACTAAGGTACAATTAAAAAAAAATATTAAATGTGCTAATTGTGTAGGTGATATTTATTTTGTTTTCTGTATATGTGTTTCAGTATTTCTCAATTTTAAAATGCGTACATACATATATGGGGGTCTGTAGGTTTGTGTATCCATGTAGGGATTTCAAATGCTTTAGTAAAACCTATTCTTTTCACAGTATAAGAGCAGCTTGAAAATGAAATGAAGGTGGTTCAAATTTTAGAAACAAAGTTAAATAATTTTACTAATAGTTTTTATTCCAATATTCTCTTCAACTTTTCTTGTCTACGTTTCTTAAAGATTTTATTTATTTATTTGAGAGAGAGAAAAAGCACGAGCGGGGGGGTGGGGGGGGCAGAGGGAGAAGCAGACTCCCCACTGAGCAAGGAACCTGATGAGGGACTCAATCCCAGGAGCCCGAGATCACGACCTGAGCCGAAGGCAGACGCTCAACTGACTGAGCCACCCAGGCGCCCCTTCTTGTCTACATTTAAGTTTGTATTTACCCATCTTCACCCAGAACTCCTGACAATATTGGCAATTTCTGTTGTTACTGTTAAGGACACAGTGAATATATAAAACAAACAAAAATAGCTCCCAGACTTAATTGTCTGAAGCATCCCTCATAAATTGGCATAATCAACTTGGTATTTTTCCACCCAGAAATAGAAAATCTTTTCAAAATCCAATTCTATTCAACATTTTATAGAGTTCATGGTAGTTTTTAAATTTTAGAAATCATACTAAAAATGTCCCACATCAGTTTTAATAACACTTGAATTCGCCAATGAATCCCTTCACGGCCTGGAATGGAATATAATTCCATCTTTCATGAGATGTGTTCCATTTTACTCTGACTGAAAAGGAGATACTTAAATACTTATTACCATGGGACAAACAGCGACCAAGGCAAGCCCCGACCGCTCTAATCTGCTGCCTCAGCCAGAAAAGAGCTGAAGTTATTTTCTTCATAAAGTTGTTGTGGGTTCTAAAAAGATACATAGCAAAATTCCTGAAAGAGCTCCTGATCCAATGCTGAATAAGTGAATTAAATTAGAATGGTAAGAGTAACAAAAATAGTGGACATCCCCTGGGGGCTGGTGTGCACCAGATGGTTCTAAGCCTTTCCATGCGTTATTTCTCCAAACCCCACTGTAATTGTATGATAAAAGAACCCTTAGTAGCTCTACTTAACAGATGACACAGAAACATACATAAAGTAGCCTGCTGAAGTCTACACAGCTAGTAGATGGCAGAGCGGGGATACTAAGCCCAATCTCTTGCTACTCTGCAATACGGCACAGAAGAGAAGTCAGTGATGGGACAGTTAAGGTGTTAAGATGTATAAACATAACCGGGACTCATATTTCTATCCTGTTTGTATCTGAGTGGAAAAAGAAATCGAAGACTCATCCATCCAGTCAAAATTTTAAAAAAATACAAATTTTAGAAAGGCAATCACTCTAGACTCATGTTGATAGACTCCATTACAAATATTCACATAATCCACATAGCATATTCCAAGTAAGAGAGAAAGATGAGTAAATATGCAAGGAGATGTGAAGGGGAGAGCCCATATTTCAATAAGGTCAAGGGGGGAGTGGAAAGTGAACATAAATGAGGCCCCTGGTCAGAGGCCAGATCATGAACAGTTTTGTAAGCCTCCGTAAGGAGTCTACATTTCATTCTGAAGCCCCTGGACATCATCTATTCCTGTTGTTTTTTTTTTTTTTATATCCCTAATTGTAAGCAGTGTGGAGAATGAATTAATGGCTATCAAGACTGGAAGCAGGAAAGCAGGTGTTTACTAGCGTAACTGGGGTGAGAGGTTAGGAGGAACAATTTGTAGCATTAGGGATGAAGAATGTGAGACAGACAGTAAATGACTGCACAAGCAACACTGTCAGTTCAGGGACCCATTAGATGGTGGAAGAATGAAAGAGAGGGGAGAGCCTCCGGACACAAGGCAACAGGAGCCTTAAACTCCAATACCAGAAAGTCAGGCAGGCAGCGCTGACGACGGAAGTGGGCCAGTGGCAAGACAGCAGGGAGTGGTAGGGACTGCCCCGGGCTGGAGAATGCATGCCCCCAGAACGCATTCCAAAGGGGGTGGCTGCCGCCCACCTGCAGCCCACTGCTGCCATTTGGAAGGTGGTTCCCCTTGCCAAATCTTCTGAATTGTCAAGAAATATCTGAAATCTGGATTCTTGTTTGAACGCCTCCTAGTTTAAAATGTTGATAAGTCACTTCTCTGGTACTAAAACACATCTGTGGTCACTGTGTGTATGCTTTCTCTGTGTGACTTAATGTGAACCACGGGCTTTGGAGCCAAAGTGGGAGTTACTGACCACAGGTAACCGCGAGACCTTGAGCAAGTCCTTAATCATCTTGACCTTATGTCTCTGCGTTCATGGAAGAGGCACGATGATGCCGACAGCACATGGTTTTTGCGAAGCTTAAATGAAAAACTCTGGAAACCATTTGGCACAGTGACTGGCAAATAACAAGCATTCAGTAAGAAAGTTATAATTGTGCTTTTCCAGACTAGGGTACAATGTGGATGGTGTTGTTACCAACAAGGATCGACAGAGGAGGAGATTTCCAGGGCAGAATGATGAGCTCAGTTTTGTACATGTTGGCTTGAGGTACTTCTGTGGTTGTTTAGGAGTCAGTTAACTAGGCAGATCTGGTCTCAGGAAAGAGATGTGAAGGAGAGGACATGGGCTGGGGGTGAGACGCATATGGATGAGAATCAGATTCACAGGTGTGGATGCTAATACTTGAGGCAAGTGTCTGGAAGACAGTCCTCTCTAGAACCTGACCATGCTGGCCCCCTGATCTCAGATTTCTCAGACTCCATTCCTGTGAGAAAGCAATGTCTGTTGTTTAAGCCAACCATCCACGGCATTCTGTCATGGAAGCCGGAGCTAAGACACAACTGCTGTGACCAGCAAATTCTCTATTTCCATCACCCAAGCAATTGTTATCCTCTTATTAATGGGGCATCCTCTGTAAATGATTCACACCTTCCATAGCCACCTCTTAAATGACCTTCCAGAGAGAGAAAGGGACAAAGTTTTATAACACAAAGAAGGCAAGGCCAGAAAATGAAAGTTTGGATCTTCTGGCTGGCTGTGTGACCTTGGGCAAAGTACTTAATCATTTTGTGCTTTAATTTTCTTGCATATAAAATGAGGGTGACCCCTGCCCTGTCGGATGAAACAAGAGGGCAGGTGGCGCTCAGTACATGTTGGATGCTCCTTCCTTTAAGCAGTAGTTCTGGGGAAATTCCAGGTTGCCTGTACACCCAGAGTTTGTGGTTAGGGCAACAGGAGAGAGGCGGGTCTGTCAGCCAATCTCTGGAACGTCAACAAATTTCATATGTTCGTGAATTCTTGGGGATGGAGTCCCGGGAGATATCTAAGGGGGAGTGTTTTGGAATCAGGTGGTGCTCACACACTGTCCTCTAAACACGTGCACAGTTATTGGGTGATCCAGCGAGGCTGACAAATGGAGGTGGGGTCCCAGAGCAAGCAGTGGTGGGAAGAGGTGACAGGCAGGGGTGTCTCTGGCAGCATTTCCGCACAGGCTCAAAAGGACAAGACACTGAAACAGTATCTGTTAACGGCAAACACTTGTCCATACTGAGCACTGCTCCCAGTGGTCTGGCTATATTAACTCATTTAAACCTAGTCTCAGTTCTATGAGCTAAGTATACTATTTCCTTTTCAGATGGGTTAACAGAGGCACAGGAAGATCAAGTAACTTGCCCACGGTTACACAGCTAGTAAATGGCAAGGATGGGGTTCGAACGCAGGCAGTCTGA